GCCGAGCTCGCCGAAACCGCCGAGACCGCCGAAAGTCTAAAGGCCCAAAGGCAAACGGCTACCCGGCCGCGCTCTCGTCCTCTCACACTCCCGGGGAACTCACCGGGGAGGTCGACCTGGGGACTGGGCTCTTCCGGCTCCTCAAGGGGTCTCCGGCTCTTCGGGGGGTCCTCCGACTCCTCGCGGGTCTCCTCGCGGGAGACCCCCCCCCCGCATCATTTCGGCTCTCCTACGGCGGAGCCACAAAACCAGCGTCCGCCATCTTTCGAGCATGCGCGTGATCTTGATTATCTTTTTCTTTTAAGCTAGAAAAAGCAGAATGAGCAATTTGATGTTGGAATCAGGTAGTCAGAGAGGTGGTGAGTTTCTCTTTTGAGCAAGTTTTTGAACAGTGGCTGAACACTCTCCATGGAAATGTCTTAAACTGGACTCCTATACTAAGGAGATTATAGGACCTAATGGCCTTCATGGATCTTTCACTGTTTGAATGTGCAAAGCTTTGCATCCATTGGTATCAGATGGACAGACTACTTAAGCCAGAGCACCCTTAAGTGCTGTTGGATCTTACAGTTACCCCATTGAAAAGGCCTGCTAATACTATAGGTCAGTGGTTCTCAATCTATGGGTCGGGACCCCATTTGGGGTCGATCGACCATTTCACGGGGATCACCAAGCAAGGCTGTCCGCCATTTTTTTCCCCTTTTCCGGTGGGTGCCTTACCTCCCTTGAGCTGGGCCAGCTGGTGGTCGGCCTGCTCCGTCTCTGCTGCTTGCCAGCTACGCCTCGGCCGGCGCAGGGGGGCGGAACCACGCATGCGCGGCGCTCCCGGGCAGGGAAAGTCCTCGACTTATGACCGGTTGGGTAGTCCTCGACTTACGACTGGTTTAGTCCTCGATTTATGACCAGTTTAGTCCTCGACTTACGACCGGTTTAGTCCTCGACTTACGACCGGTTGGGGGTTGCAGCATTAAAAAGGTTGAGAACCACTGCTATAGGTGATAAAGTTTAAATTCCTTGATCTCGGGAAGTTTAATAGATTACTTGTTGCTTTGGCACACCTGAAATCTGGAAGATCAGATGGGAGTCTTATTAAGTGCAAATCATCATTTTCCTTCAGGGACTCAGCAACGCATGCCATCTGGGTAGGTGTGTGTGTGTATACTTTGTGTTTAACAAAGAACAATTCTGTTTGTATTTTTTGCAGGAGAGGTTTATGTATCTGATCGAGAAGGATGTGACAGCACTGGTGATGGGACACAGGAGAAACCTTTCAAAACAGCTTTGCAGGTATGTTTGAATATTTCTGAAACATCTAAGTCAGAGGCCACCAACCTTTTAGGCACCAGGGACCAGTTCTGTGGGGAGAGGTTTTTCTGCGGACCGGAGGGGATGTGGTTTCGTGTGCTGCCTGCATCCCATGGATTGGGCTTCGCTTGTTTGCGTGGCCCAGTTGCTGGCATGCCGCAGCCCAGTGCAGATGCACAGTCCAGGGATTGGGGACCTCTGATCTAAGTAGTTTGCTAGGTACAAATGATTCATCTTTTGGTAATTCAGAATTTAGGACTTTTTTTTTAAAGTTACTAAAATACATTTTATCTATTAACAAGGAAAATCTGTAACCCTTTAGCAATTAAAAATAACCCATTCATTAATTAATTGTCCTTTTTTTATTATTTCAAAGGCATTGATGTCTACTGGAAAGGAACCACTTCCTACTATCTATGTGGACTCACAAAAAGAAAACCAGGTTGGTTAAACAAATCATTATCATCTTTTCCAGATGCACCAAAAATACTGGTGAGCAGTGCAGAAATTAGCAAGCCTAAATGCCTCACTAGTTTTTGAAATTCACCAGATGTAATTGTGATCTCAGCTTAGATGGTTTTAAAATTGGGGTCTTAAATAAACTCACGGAAAAACTATTTTAATTATTAAAACTGAGTCTTGCTAAATCATGTTGAAGTATGGGATGTGGCTATTGTTTTCTTGGGATAGGCTGTCTTGCACTTTTCATTTTCTGATCTCTTCCCAAAATTTTCCTCTGCTCTATTGACCATGCAACTCATTAGTATTTCATTTTTAATGGGGGATGGTTGGTACATTTGCAAATAATTGGATGTCACCAATAACCAAATAATTGGATATCACCAATAACCAAAGATTGGACCTTGGAACTTTTGCTGTGTCTTATAGTTACTGGTATATGCAAATTAGGAGTGCATTGCTGGAATGCAATCCTGATCCATTTGGTTTAGCCCCAGTTCAGCATTCCAAGTTTCAGTTGAAATAAAACTAAGATGGTCAAGGAGGACAAGTCTGGTCCTTGTTGTTAATTATCGTTTATTTCAGTAGTTTGCCCATAGGAGCCAGGAATTTGGAATGATGATAGTGACAATGATGGCAACTCTCTACCTCTGACGCTTCTCTGTTCATCAGTGGTTACATAAAGTAGTGTTATTCATCCTTGGCAACTTAAAGATGAGTGGATTTCAACTCCCAGAATTCCTCAGCCAGCCGTGCTAGCTGGAGTTTCTGGGAATTGAAGTTCACACATCTTCAAGTTGCCAAGGTTGAGGAACACTGACATAAGGAATGACACTTATTGTCTTGGCAGTAAATAAGATGAATGATGGCTGAATCAATGTTCATATTTCGGTTTCAACTGAAGACCAGTTTTTCTGAAGCAACAGCTAAAAGGGATTCCTTGTCAAAGTTAGAAACGGGATGGTGGCTTAAGATTTTTCTTGTCTGGATCAAAAATCAGCCATGTGACTCTAATTTCTCTTTTAATCTACCTAGAGATGGGAAACGATCTCCAAAACCCAACTCAAGAATGTGAAAAAGCTGTGGCAGAGAGAGCAGCAGAAGAGTGAAGCCAGAGAAAAGAAAGAGGTAAGTTGGCAACTAGAATGTCTATTTTCTGAAATGCTCAAGAATGAAAGTGTTCTTCTAAATGGTCTTTTAATTTGTTTTTTGAAGCAAATGAGAAACGAGAGAGAGATTTAAATTAATTTAAACCTTCTGGACATTGAGTGATATGGCAGCGAATCATTATAGGTTGGTCCCCAAATTCACAGATTTTCATGCCACCTTAAACCAAAGGAGTCCCTGCAAAGTATCAGCTGGGTTGAAGCATTGCCTTAAGCCAAAGATATTCAAAGTTGGCAGCTTTAAGTCTTGTGGATTTCAACTCCCAGAATTCCCCAGCCAGCGTGGTTGGCTCAGGAATTCTGGGAGTTGAAGTTCACAAGTTGCCAAATTTGGAGACTCCTGTCTTAAGCAAGGTAAGCAAACCATAATCTAATATGAACAGTGAACCCAGTCGTCTGATCCTTGCATAAATCAGTATTCCAAACCAGTGTTGTTTCTAATCCAAGTGGATTTGTATTCTGTATAGTCCTTCTGGAGTGCCATCACCATCCAGATTGTTAGTCCAGTTTATCTATTTATCTCGGACCTTTACTTTTGTCTTCAAAGCTCTTGGCAGTTACATCAGAGTTCTCTTGAGTATAACCATTCAAAAGGAACCAATTGTCAAGAATCATCATGATGTAATAAATTGTAACACATTCAGTGTTAGGTTTAAATGTCACTTATTCATTAAACTTTTAGAGAAATATTTGGCAAGTTGCTTGTTCAGGCATAAAATGAAGCAATAATGTGATTTTTTGCTTACAGTAAGGTGCAAACCATTCATTATGGGTTGTAATAATGTGAGAACCAACTTGCTATGGCTGAAGTTACATTTCATGCTAAGCTAGCCTTACCGCGCTTGGCACTGCCAGCTCCCGGGATTCTCTGGTGAGATGGCTATCAGAGAATACTGGGAATTGAAGTCCAGATATCGAAATGGCACCGATAAGGGATGCTTTGTTTGAGTAAAGTTACATTGGCTTTGTTCTTTTTTTTTTGTAAAAAAAAAATATTTTATTGAGTTTTATAGAGGTAATAAAGGGATAGGGTCAAAAAGGATAAGACAACGGGAAACATACAGAAAGGCTAGACCAGGGGAAAGGGGTAACACAAAAGTGGGATTAATCCCACAAAATAACATCGCTTCAGCAAGTCTACCAGTCCGGGTTTACATATTAAATCTTAATAATTACTCTATTATTAAACAACTTTCCATATAATCATGTAAATAACAAATTAGTCAATAAATCTCATTCATTTCAGTACTTAACAATGCTTAGTATTAATTAATTATAATCACTTTAAGATAATAATATATTATATATTAATTCTAGTTTACCATATTATTAAAGATCACAAGTATACAAAGAGGAAGAAGAAGAAGAAGAAATAAGAACAAGTTCATACAAATAATCATGGAATATAAATACAAATTATCAATTATCTCTGTAAATTTCATAACCTTTTCTCATTCTAGCGTGTTTCTAATCAATAATAAAATTTTCCCCATGTTTTAAAGTAGATTGTGTCTTCTTTCTCTTTCATTTCTAAAGTCAATCTATCCATTTCTGCACATTTGAGTACTTTTGTTATTATAGCCTGGTCAGATGGTAAATTTTCATTTTTCCAAAATTGGGCAAATATTATTCTTGCGGCTGTCAGCACATGCAATATTAAATACTCATTCTCTTTTCCATAGTTCAAACCTAATATTCCTAACAAACAGAGTTCTGGTTTAAATTCTATCTGCATTTTAATCATCTCTTCTAGCCACCTATGAATCTTAGACCAAAACTTTTTAGCATTAGGACATATCCACCAGAGATGGTAATAAGTGCCTGGTTGTTGTTTACATTTCCAACACATATTTGATACATTTTTAAACATTTTCTCTAATCTAACTGGTGTCATGTGCCATCTAAAAAACATTTTATATACCTAGGTTTTCCTTATATGCAGCTGCTTTAGTAAATTTAATATTTCGGTCCCATAGTTTTTGACATTGGCTTTGTTCTTACATCAGGATAAGCCACATATCATAGGTGATATGCCCCAAACCTTTAGGTCAACTTTTTTTCTAATCAAATCCCCAAATCTAATCTATAGGCAGAAGATTTGTTGCGACGTGAAAAGAATTTGGAGGAAGCAAAGAAAATTATCATTAAGAAAGACCTCAGTCTCCCGGAGCCCAAATGTGTGAGTAACATCCTTAGGAAAACAAAGTATATTGTGAACTTGCAACATGTTGGGGAAAATGGTACGTTTATGTATGTGGAAATTAACTTGATGTCACAGGGGTAGATAACATGGTATCTGCAAACCCGGTCTGCCTCCATATTCCTCCCTACCCCGCCAGAATCTCATTTATACTTTAAATTTATTTATTTGTTTGTTTGTTTATATCTCACATTTCTAAACTGCCATCTTCTTCAAAGGATAGCCAAATGCTAGCCTCTGGCATCATTCATGTTGCAGAATTTCTCTGGGGTCACAGTATGGTGGGAAAGAGTGTTTGTGAGAACTAATTTTGACTTTTAAATGAAAAGTTTATGGTTGGTTGTGTCCTTTGGCATATCTCCTGTTGTGCCCATTTTATGAGTATTTACAATACCCACCCCAAATTCCAGATCTATCCTGGTCCTAGACAGTGGCCTACACCAAATTTTTCCAATGGGAGAGGTGAAAGAAGAGCAATGTAATTCTGTATTGACTTAAGAGAACCACAGTCAAGTTTCCCCCAGCAAATTTTGGAATTGTAACTTCCAGAATTCCCAGCCAGGTAGTGGGATGGTGGGAGAATTTTGCAAGAAACTGAATATAAAACAGCATCTGATCTTCTGGCACTCTCCAGATGTCTAGGGTAGTTGAGGTGTTGAGATTGTATCTGATTTGGGAAGACTCTATACTAGAGTGTATTTCTAGCTCTGTAGCTCTTTGTGAAGGTGAAAATCCAGCCATATTGAAAGTATCCTCAAGTGGAAAGTAATATCCTTTCAGATCAGAGTGCCCACCACAGGGAGGACATTTAAAAAATCAAAACTGCAGTTGAAACTCCATCCTTTTTAAATGCAGCCTCCATCTTGTCTCATTTTTTGGTTTTCCTTTTGTGGATGCCCCTGTTTGCAGATTCTGAGCTGACATGCTGGCAGTTACTCAGTGCAGATTAAAATCTACCCTGTGTTTATTCCCTAGAAATAACAGGATCTAGCCTTGATGGCGTGGCTGGATGATCAGAAGGGATCTTATGCGCATTGACTCAGAAAATTGTAATTGAGGGACTCTGTCAAATTCCTGTTGTGCAGTCTTTGCTGCATCATTTTGGCTATGTGCCTTCATAGAAGCTGCCAAACTGATGTTGTGGAAATTTAGAAAATCCATTTACTAGCTTAGCCATTTTTTTTCCAGATCTGGAGCAAAGGCATAAAGTATATGTGTGTGTATGTGTACAGGGGGTGGCAGCAGTCTTTTTTTGATGAAGGCCAGTGATACGAGTGGTAATTTGATAAAGAGATAGAGTCAAAGTTTGGTAGTATCCTGGCGGACTGATTTTTTTCCTGTAACCACATGAGAGGGATATGCAGGTCTATCAGAAGAGGTTCCAGTTGTACTGTAGAAATTCCCTGATGCAAATCAGATTGATTTGCACAGGGAAGCCCATATCTCCATTATAAAGAAGATATCTGAGGGTAATATACACATCCCCCTAACTATAGTACACCTCTCTGAACTATGTTGTCACGTTGATTTTTCTCAATGGTTTTAGGGGGGGGGGAGGGCTAACCCAAACCCAAAGTGGATTTCCATAGCAATGAGGATTTTTGCATGCATGTTACTAAAGACTAATATGGCTGTTATTGTTCCTGCCTGTATAGTTAGTTTGTGTAATTAATGAGAGAAGTTAGCTGATTCCTGTTTAGGGCAAGTAGCAGTTGGAGCCTCAGCATCCTAAGCTTTGAATGGGGGTTGAATAACCTCTGGCTAGGAGAACATCAGTAGCACCAGATTCTGAATGCATCTTAGAAGATTCTGATGTCTTCTGGATTCTGAATTGGCAGCCTGTCTCTTTATATATTAAATTACCTGTCTTTTTACAGGTGAAGATTTGTGCCCTGGAAGCCTACAGAGGGGAGAGAGTAAAGGTGTTTGGTTGGGTCCATCGATTGCGTCGGCAGGGTGAGTACCATCTAGCACAGGGGAAGGGTTTTTCCAGAAGCTCTGAATGTTTTGATGCAAGTGTCACTCGCAAGTGTCACTCCCAATGAGGAGAGTGACTTTTGCCTCTATCAGCTGTCCTGTGGGCTGCAGGTATGATGGAATATAAATTGGAGATGAATTGATGAGGGTAAATTGTCTACTCAGCCATATGGCAAGAAATACAACTTTCTCAAAGAAACTAATCCATTCAGTCATAAGCATCTATATGTAGTCCTCACTTACTGATCGTTTGTTCAGCAACTATTTGAAGTTACGATGACACTGAAACAGGAGACTTAGGACCAGTCTTTGGAGTTCTATCCATTGTAATATCCCCACAACCATATAATTGTGATTAGGGCAAGTGGCCATCGGCACGCACTTATGACAGATGCAGCATCCTGTGGTCACATGATCACAATTTGTGACCTTCACAGCTAACTTCCAACAAGCAAAGCCAATGGGGAAGCTGGGAGGAAGTTGCAGTCACATGACATCAGGCTTACTAACTGAGTAATTTGCTTCACAGCCACAGCCAGAATTGACATAAGTTGGGGTGGTTGTGTGATGTTGCAATTGATGATCACATTGCTTAGCAATGGAGTTGCAGGGCGCAGTTGCTATCCTTGCAAAGAGATGTTTTTTCCCCCCTCTTTCCTAAATGAGGCTTGCAAACACAGACTTGAAGTATAGAGACAATCTCCCCCCCCCCAAGAGGTTTAGCAAGTTTGGCATACAAGAGTTACAAATCAAAATGGCATGTAGAAGAGTAGGCAGGTGGAGTCCGAAGATTAGAGTTTGTAGATAGATCATTAGCCATTTCGGATTCAGAGTCAGAGGTGTGAGTTTCACAAGTCAAGAGACATGGAGTGGGAGTTAATAAGTGGTTGTTATCAAGCAAAACCGTTGTTGCTCTGTTTTAATAGAAGCAGCCTTAGTGTAGGTAATTTAATGGGGCAGGACTCCTTCTGCATCACTAGTCTTGCAGACTGTCTGTGCTCTACTCTCTTTGTAGCCTGCCAAGTGCTTTGTTAGGATGGGGCGGTAATTCCAGGCCCTCATCTTCAGAGAGCAATAGCAGCTGGATTTGCTGATTACCGGCCTGCCCTGCCTGCTTAGATGGTGGTGCTAGAGCTGGTTGATCATTGTCTATCAGCCCTTCTGGAGCTGGCTCTGTCTGCTTGTAATAAGTCTTCTCTTCTGGCTCCAAATCAGCCCACCATGACAATTGCAGTCAATAAGTGAGGACTACTGTATAACGGTGTTTCTCAGTCTCAGCAACTTTATGATGTATGGACTTCAACACACAGAATTCCTCAGCCAGCATGGATATTCGGAGGGGGGGGGGATTGAAGGCCACACATCTTAAACCTGCCAAGGTTGAGAAATAGTGATCTAGAAGATCAAGGGCTGAATGTTAAGCTGGGAAAAGATACTGAGAGGTGATCAGAGTTCTGTGAAAACAGTAGGAAGTAAATTCCTAGAAACTCTATCCACGGAATAACTGCCTCGTTATTCTTTCTGAACCCCACTGTTTT